TCAAGGTTGGGAGTTCGAAACCAGCCTGAGCGAGACCCCGTCTCTACTAAAAATAGAAAGAAATTAATTGACCAACTAAAAATATATATACAAAAAATTAGCCGGGCATGGTGGCACATGCCTGTAGTCCCAGCTACTTGGGAGGCTGAGGCAGGAGGATCGCTTGAGCCCAGGAGTTTGAGGTTGCTGTGAGCTAGGCTGACGCCATGGCACTCACTCTAGCCTGGGCAAAAAAGTGAGACTCTGTCTCAAAAAAAAAAAAAAAAAAAACAAAAAAACAAAAGAGAAAACTGATTGGGGAGAGGGTAGAATTACGATTCTGTTTAGATATGTTGATTTTTGAGATCCCAAAATGGGGTACCCAGAAATGTTTCCTAGGCAGTTGATTCAATATTTATAGGACTAGAGTGAGGATAGAGATTTGGACAGAGATTATCAAGGTATTGGTGAAAGTACATCTAAGTAGAAACCCGAGGTTTAGGTGAGATTGTTTAGGGACACATGATATTTAGATGAGAAGAGAGAAGGGGCAAGGACAGAATCCTGAAGGATACCAGTTTTTAAGGGGTACTCAAGAGTGAGCCCATGAAGAAAATTGAGAATTGAGCAGCCCAAGAAGAGGAAGAGCATCAGGAGCTCAGTATCATGGAGCTGAGAGAGTGATGAACTGAGGGCATAAATCATGCTATAGAAGGATCCAGGGAAATAGGGACTAGGATGTAACCATTGAATTTTACCAATGAGAGGCTTTTAAAGATATATATATTTAGCATTAATCCACTTTCATTGCAGTTAGTTTGGAAAATACAGATTAGCAAATAGGAAGGGAAAAAATATAAAACTGTCTGATACTCTACCATCCCAAGATAGCCATTTTTATTTTATTTTTATTTTAATAGATACGGGATCTCACTACGTTGCCCAGGCTGGATTTGGACTCCTAGCCAGCTACCATTTTTAATATTTGGTATATTACCCTTTCAGATTCTTATTTATTAATAAGATTTTTTTGAGATGACCTCAGGCTGGGATAACTACCATGTTTTCCCGAAAATAAGACCTACTCATAAAATAAGCCCTAGCAGGATTTCTAAGCGTTTGTGCAATATAATCCCTACCTTGAAAATAAGACCTTAGTGATGAGCGTGGCTACACAGGGTAGCATCGTATCCACACAATCCATGCATTTCCTCGAGGGGTGGTAAAGAAGACGAGCAACCCTTCTCATCTGCCCCATGAGAGCTCTATTGCTCAACATGAGAGATTGGGGCCAATGGTTCTAAAGGAAATAGAGTCGCAAGAAATTCAGGATGGAATTCGGGGTTTGGAGAGTTATGATGTTCCAGAAGACGACGACTTAACTATGTTTGAATAAATGTAGATTATTGTACCATACTTAAAAAAAAATAACACATCCTCTGAAAATAAGCCCTAGGGTGTCTTCTTGAGGAAAAATAAATATAAGACCCTGTCTTATTTTCGGGGAAACACGGTATTGAATAAATGGGTTAATATGTCAAGAATTTAAATATAGGGTGTCATGGACAACATATTGGTGAAACAAAGTAGTAAATCTAGTGATAGCCTACCCATGAAAGTGGAGAAGTGCTGCCTTTAGTGTGTCCATCGAAGACACCTTTTCTCTCTCAGCAGCTGAGGGTTCAGTCAAATCCAGAGTACAGAGGGGATTCCCAAATGGCACGTGCCTCCATACCTAAGCTAGTGCCTGGCACATGCAGAGGCTTTTCCTTTTAGTAAATAAAAGGGAGGCATTGGTAACAGAGTGGTGAGATTGGAAGTGATGGCATCCCTGAAGGGAGGATAGAGCAGATGATACCAGTTGATTGCAGTGCCAGTTGCTTTACTGGAGGGCTCGTGGTCCATCTAAACACTCAACCAGGGGAAGGAAGGAACTTGGGAGATTGGATTCCAGCATTGTCACTAGTGGGCATTCAGAGCCATAGATGTTGGTTGCAATATCTGATTGTGCTCTTCTGGGCTGGCATGGTCTGTGGATACTGTGTCAACAAATAATTCCACATATATGATTCTGAGTCATGAGGTGTTCTTCACAATACTTTAAAAATCTTAGGGATTTGTCCATATCACTTGTCTTTTAGTTTGGGAACATCTTTCAGGGTGCATCAGTGTGCACCAGAAGGGGATGCCCTCACAGCTGTTCAAAGGACAAAACTGCCCAGAGGCACTGAAGGTCTACGGGAGAGTAAAGGACCAATTGGCATAGCTTTGATTTAGCAGATATGGACAACAGGCAAAGGGTTAAGGAGAATGAAGGCCCTGGCAAGAAGGTAGTTGTTCTCATACAGGAAGGTCTAAGCTGGAGGACAGAGGTAAAGTAAGGAGATGATAGACTAAGTGAAAAGAGGGTAGGAAGGTTAAGTGGGAAGTTGACAGTTGAAAGATTTGAGATGTGGACCAGGTCTGGATCCAGGGCCAGGTCCAAGGGGTTTGGGAGTAGGATTTGCAATGGAGTTAAGGGGGTGGGGAGGTTGTAGAAGTTGAGGGTCAGAGAGCTTTGATTTTGGTCCTTGGGTAGGTGATCTTATGTGAACATTGAAGAGGTGATGATGACTCAGCCAATTGCTGAAGTCTTCAGCAAATGTGAGAGAGTGATTGTTTAGGAGGTGTGTATATAAATGATAAAGGGCAACAAAAGGTGGATTTTTATCAGAGCAAAGGGCCAGGTTTGAGAAAAGGGAGTAGAAAGCTAAGAGAAAGCTTAGAAAGTAACTCTGTGGGCTGGGTGCAGTGGCACGTGCCTGTAGTCCCAGCTGCTTCTTGAGCTGAGAGGCAGGAGGATTGCTTGAGTCCAAAAGTTCAAGGTTGTAACGAGCTATGATCTGCACTCCAGCCTGGGCAACAGAGTGAGACCCTGTCTCAAAAAGAAAAAACGTAGGTCTGTAAGCTCTAGAAGAGCATTTAAAGTGGGGATAGGGGTAGGAGATAGGAGGCTTAGAAGCTGTGACTTTGAGGAAAACTATGTCTCATTTAAATCAGATTAAGGAGGGAACTTTCTGGAACCAACCTGAGTGCTAGGGAAGTTTATTTACATTGAAGCAACGTTCCACTGGGCACAGTGGAAAGAGTTGAGAGGGTATTCAGAATGGAGGATAGGTCATTGGGGAGGAAGCTGGGAGCTGTGTGAGGATGAGTGTTAAGGAGATAGATAGCCTGAGGAAGTTTGTGTGAAAAGGAGAAAATTGCTTCATAAATAGTCTAATAGCTTGAATTAGTTTATTGTGCTTTACTTAGATCTAATTATAATTCTACTGTCTAAGCTTCATTTCTCTGATATGCAAAGATGTGGTTTAAGTTCCTTTAAAATTATATATTTGTATTTTAAACATATAAGCAATATATCATCATTTTAAAAAATGTCAGGGCCAGGCTCAGTGGCTCAGGCCTGTAATCTCAGCTATTTGAGAGGCTGATGTGGGAGGACTGCCTGAGGCCAGGAGTTGGAGACCAGTCTGGGCAACACCATCTCTACCAAAACAATAATAATAATAATAATAATAATAAGTTAATGAGGTAAGTAAAAAGGATAAGACAAACCTCTCTTGAAATCCCACTACCAAGGGACATCATTTTCAGACTTTTTCTCATTGAAACAAATACATGTGTATTTAATTTTTGAAGATATAATCAGTATGCTGTGGTCACCTGTTTTTGTTTGTTTGTGAAACAGGGTCTCTTTCTGTTGCCTGGGCTAGAGTGCAGTGGTGTCATCATAGTTCACTGCAGCCTCCAACTCCTGGGCTCAAGTGATCTTCCTGCCTCAGCTTCCTGAGTAGCTGGGGCACATGCCACCATGCCCGGCTAATTTTTCTATTTTTTGTAGGGATGAAGTTGCATCCCCGCTCAGGCTGGTCTTGAACTTCTGGCCTCAAGCAATCCTCCTGCCTCAGCCTTTCAAAGTACTAAGATTACAGATGTGAGCCACCACACCTGGCCAACCTGCTTTGTTTTAAAATAATATCTAATAAATATTCTTTGTCACAATAGGTGGATTGTTGCCATCATTTTTAATTGTTATAATCCATTATCAGACTGTATACCATATTTAATATATTGGACTTTTGAATACTTTCTAATTTTTTTTGTTTTTTCTTTTTATAGCTTTTTTTTTTACTTTCTATTTTTTTATTACAAAGAAGGATAGAAAGAAAAACCTTGTATGTACAACTTTGGCATATTTATCTGAATATTTCCTTTGGGTAAATTTCTAGGAGTTTGCAAGTGACTTTTTGGTTTAATTTCTTTTTTGTGGCTGGGCACGGCAGCTCACGCCTGTAATCCTAGCACTCTGGGAGGCCGAGGCAGGCGGATTGCTAAAGGTCAGGATTTCGAAACCAGCCTGAGCAAGAGTAAGACCCCATCTTCACTATAAATAAAAAAAAAAAAAGAAATTAATTGGCCAACTAATATATATAGAAAAAAAAATTAGCCGGGCATGGTGGCGCATGGCTGTAGTCCCAGCTACTCGAGAGGGTGAGGCAGAAGGATCGCTTGAGCCCAGGAGTTTGAGGTTGCTGTGAGCTAGGCTGATGCCACAGCACTCACTCTAGCCTGGGCAACAAAGCAAGACTCTGTCTCAAAAAAAAAATTTTTTTTTTCTTTTTTGTCCTTTTTTCTCATAATTTAGTATTTGGCTGTGAAATCCCTTTTGTGTTGCTAATTTTGGAACATATTTAAATATATTTGATGAACAGTGTAAAATCAATGTGATAGGAATATATATTGTTTGTAAGATATCAATTTACCATTGTCTGATACATATTCAATTGATTCTTTTCCCCAGGTAAGGAAGCCAAAAACATTAGTCTGCAATCCTTCAGGTTTTCTTCTCCCTAAGGGCTTGTACATTTAGGACTTATGCAGTGGAATTGAGATAATTATAAAAATTGTTAAAACTCTAAGTTAATAATGTCTTCTGAATGCATGGAAATATTTAACACTATTTTTTTTTTTTTTTACAGGTTATTCATGGCGGGGGACGTGGAAGGATTCTGTTCCTCCATCCATGACACCAGTGTCTCTGCCGGGTTCAGAGCACTGTATGAGGAAGGATTGCTTCTCGATGTCACTCTGGTTATTGAAGATCATCAGTTCCAGGCCCATAAAGCACTCTTGGCCACCCAGAGTGATTACTTCAGAATTATGTTTACTGCAGACATGAGGGAACGAGATCAGAACAAAATTCATTTAAAAGGTCTAACTGCTACTGGTTTCAGCCACGTCCTTCAATTTATGTACTATGGAACTATAGAACTGAGTATGAATACTGTTCATGAGATTCTTCAGGCTGCCATGTATGTTCAACTTATAGAAGTGGTGAAGTTCTGCTGCTCTTTTCTGTTAGCGAAAATCTGCTTAGAAAACTGTGCAGAAATTATGAGACTCTTAGATGATTTCGGTGTAAACATCGAGGGAGTCAGGGAGAAGTTGGACGCCTTTCTGCTAGACAACTTTGTGCCACTCATGTCCAGGCCTGACTTCCTGTCCTATCTGAGCTTTGAGAAGCTCATGTCTTATTTGGATAATGATCATCTGAGCAGGTTCCCAGAGATAGAGCTGTACGAGGCTGTGCAGTCTTGGCTGCGGCATGATAGAAGACGCTGGAGACATACCGATACCATCATTCAGAACATCAGGTTTTGTTTGATGACCCCATCCAGTGTTTTTGAGAAGGTTAGTGCATTTGAAAGCAATAGACAGGACTCATCATTTAGTTAAGGCAGTATGTCTTTATACATAAGATTCCCAGACTTAAGAGCCAAAAAAGGAATGAATAGCTTATAAGAATAGTTTATGTATGAGAAACCTGATTTGTTGTGCATTTAGGTTTTTTAAAATACATTTTGTGGGTGAAAGATGAACCAGGTAGGTAGTAGAATAGTTTCATTTTAAAAGTACTTTTAAAGTTGAAGCATAATTATTTGACGTAAAATATTACAACTTTGCTTTAGCTTTTCACAAATTAAATCTGAACTGGGTCAGACTAGCTCTCTGTAAAATTACCTAGGAATTATGTAATCAAGTAATACATGCTGAAATTGGCATTGAGAAAAGTTTTGCATGGTATACATTAATTAATTAATACAGTTTCTTTCTTCCTTTCTTCCTTTCCTTTCTTTCCTTCTCTCTCGACAGAGTCTCACTCTGTTGCCCCAGCTAGAGGGCTGTGGCGTCAGCCTACCTCACAACAACCTCAAACTCCTGGGCTCAAGCGATCCTGCTGCCTCAGCCTCCCAAGTAGCTGGGACTACAGGCATGCGCCACCATGCCTGGCTAATTTTTTTATATATCTACATTTTTAGATGTCCGGCTATTTCTTTCTATTTTTAGTAGAGCCAGGGTCTCGCTCTTGCTCAGGCTGGTCTCGAACTCCTGAGCACAGGTGATCCTCCCGAGTCGGCCTCCCAAAGTGCTAGGATTATAGGCGTAAGACACAGTGCCCGGCTGATACAGTTTCTTATTCCTCTGAAATGTAGTAAGGACACATAAAATAGCTCTTGAATACCAATAGGCCCTAGTGGTGATTGTCTTCCTTACTCTCACCTGTTTTTCCCTGTGAATACTAATCAAATTTGACCATGAAAACATGTTCTATGTCTAAAAACATCACTGTGGCATTTCTAAACAAGTAAATTTTCTATCTGCACTAATCAAACATCTCTGTGCATATTTTACCATGTAAATAGTCCTCCCTTAAAAGTAGTCTTTCTCCAAAACAGCCTTGGCCTTTTTGCATATAAGCATTTTCATTTTTATATCAGAGTCTTACTTGTGATCCTTTTTTGCCCAAAGGAGAGAGAGCAGTTTTAGTAATTGCTTAACTTAATTGGTTTCTAATCACATGGTTACCTCTGGGGCTCTGTTTACTTCTTGCATCTTTTCTTCTTTCTAGAAAGCACACTGAAAGCTTGGTCGACACCTTTCATGTTAAATAGTTCCTCAGCTTTAGTTACCAGACCTAGTGATAAAAATATAATATCTACAAAGGAGGATTGTTTATGCCATTTGGAAAAAAAACACATTTGCACTTTTGAATAACAGCAGCCTGGCATGTGTTTTTTCCTCCAAAATGCTGTGAAATGTCATTAACTTATACTTTTAATAGAGAACTCAGTTTTATAGGGCTTTATTTTCAGAATGTACTGATATGGCAGAAATAATTGAAACTAAGGAATATATTAAATGTTTTTGTTTAGTGATAATCAGCTGTACGTCAACCATGTAAATCATGTGGTTTTGATATTTTTATTTTTTCCTTACTATTGTTTTTATTGCTCTCTTTCCCTGGGGAATCCTGTTTTATCTTTTTACGTTAAATGCAAACGCCTTCCCAGTACTAGAACAAAACCTCTCCAGCTTCAGTCTAGATGGAAGTACTAGTGAAATAGAAAATAAATTTTTCCCTCTTTTGGGACAATATGATGGATAATTGGTAGCGGTAAATGATTTTTAAGTGCTGAACTGCAGAGCCTTTTTATTTTAATTATCAGCTCAAGGTAGATAATAGTGACAGCTGAACGTTAGTTAACACTATCAGTTAATTTTGCAAATTGTAGAAGATACCAGTTGTATCTGCTGATGGATTCCTTTGGCATCTACAGCATTGGGGGTGATTATTACCCATTGGCCAGGTATGGGGAGTTATCAGAATAAAAATGTTGCTAAGGCTTCTGGCTGGAATTAATTTCTTAGGAAAACTTAATAAGGACCCAGCTGCAGAAAAATCGTTCAGTTTTTTGTCATGTGTAAATCTTTCAGTTTTACTTTAGTAATACTGGTAAGATAAATAGAAGGTAGTCAGTGATTCTTGCCTTAATGATGTGTGAGTTACTTCTGTGGCGTAGATTTTTAAGAAATAGAAAAAAAGTGATGTGTGAGATTTAATGTTTGTCAGAGGAATCTGTGGCTTTCTAAATGTTGAGAAACACTTAAGTTAGGCAGATATGAGACCTTATCTGTAGAAATAAAACTCCAGAAACTAAAATGGAAAATTTCATTGGGAAATAAGAATTTAGATCATTTTATACCATACTATTTTGAGCCCCTTAAAAATAAGACCCATCTATTTTTCCTGAACTGCAGGTCTCAAACAAGGCCATTTTAACTTCCATTATATATGTACAGCCCCAAAGAGGGCACAGAAATAAAGACATACTACGTTCATGCTGCTCCTTTTTTTAGTATTAGAATTTACATGGAGAAAAGTGTAGGCAGTTTTGATTTGTGGTTTTATCCTATTTGCTGAAATTTAGAAAAATGTAATGTTGATAAGCATATATTTTTAGCTTTTTTTTTTTTTTGAGACAGAGTCTCACTGTGTTGCCCTGGCTAGAGTGCCATGGCGTCAGCCTAGCTCACAGCAACCTCAAACTCCTGGGTTCAAGCGATCCTCCTGCCTCAGCCTCCTGAATAGCTGGGACTACAGGCATGTGCCACCATGCCCAGCTAATTTTTCTATATATTTTAGTTGGCCAGTTAATTTCTTTCTATTTTTAGTAGAGATGGGGCCTCGCTCTTGCTCAGGCTGGTTTCGAACTCCTGACCTTGAGTGATCAGCCTGCCTCGGCCTCCCAGAGTGCTAGGATTACAGACGTGAGCCACCACACCCAGCCTTTAGCTTTAAAATGTTGTAAATTTTCTATTACAAGACTTTCTAAACGTACAAAAAAGCTGAAAGAATAGTGGAATGATCACTCATAAACATATCATGTAGATTAATATTTTGCCATATTTACTTTAGCTAGCTAGATAGGTAGAGGATGTGTAGCCTTTATGTATAATGTGCTTTGGTTTTTTTTGCTAAACCATTTCAAAGAAAGTTGTACACATTATGACACTTCATCCCTAACTACTTCAGCAAGCATCTCATCTCCCAAGAGTAAGGATATTGCCCTACATAACCACAATACGATTGTCACACCTAAGGAAATTAACAATAATTTTGTAATGTCATGTAATATCCAGCCCATTTTCCGATTTTTCTCAGTTGTTCCAAAAATGTCTTTTTTAAGCTGTTTTTCACGAACCAGGATTTAATCAAGGTTCACACAGCACATTTGGTTATTGTCTCTCTCTCTCTCTTTTTTTTAGCACAAAAATTAGGTTTATTGAGGAAGAGCAAGATAGGTTTATAGAGCAAGAGCAAGATATGTTCGCCACATACAGTGAACAGGCCCCCTGTCATAACAAGAGTCCATGTCTCTTAGTCTAGAATTGTCTCTCCTTTTTCCTGTTTATTATGAAGATGTTCAAACATACAAAAAGTTGAGTGAATAGTATAATGCCTACCTGAATAGCTGTCAGATTCAAGAACTGTTAACATTTGTCATATTTGCTTTATATAGATTTTTTGGTTGAACCTTTGATAATAAGTTGTAAACGTCAAGACACCTCACTCCTAAATACTTAACATGCTTCTCCTAAGAGTAAGAACTTTTTCCTACCTAAGTACAATACCATTCTACCTGGGAAAGTTAATAGTAAGATCCTAATATAATAGCTAATCCATATTCAAATTTTCCCAGTTGTCTCCAAAATCCACTAGAATCCAGTCAAGGTTTATGCATTGCTTTTGGCTATCATGTCTATCTAATCTTTCTTAATCTAGAACAATTCCCCACTTTTTTTTAAAGAGATGGGGTCTCGCTCTGTCACCCAAGCTAGAGTGCAGTGGCATGATCATAGCTCACTGCAACCTCCAACTTCTTCGCTCAGGTGATCCTTCTGCCTCAGCCTCTTGAGTAGCTGGGACTACAAGGATGTGCCGTCACACCCAGCTCATTTTCAAATGCTTTGTAGAGATGGGGTTTCACTATGTTGCCCAGGCTAATCTTGAACTCCTGGGCTCAAGTGATCCTCCTGCCTCAGCCTCCCTAAGTGCTGGGATTATAGGTGTGAACCACTACATTCAGCCATTCAGCCTATCACTGTATTATTGTTTTGGTCAAGTATATATAGAGATATAGATGTGTTTTTTTTTTTTTTTTTTTTGAGAAAGACCAGACCAATGATTGTCTCAGTATATACTACATTCTGGATTTATCTAATTATTTCCTTGTGTTGGTGTTAACTTAGTTCCTATATTCCCTTTATTTCCTGTTAACACATCTTTTTAGCATCATGTTTTTTAGGAACAATTACAGGAAAAATGTAGTAATGTCAGAGAAAAACCTGGGACAACCCTTAGCAACAGTGATCAAATTTTAAATTCTTTTTTGTTCTTTTTTGTATTATGAGGTTAAGTAGCCCAATTCGATGTCTAAAATCATCAAGAATTTTATTCACACTATTCTGTGTTAGGTTTCTTTTAGATTCATAAAATCCTCCCTCCCCCTTTTTGATTTAGAACACTTGCATTCAATAGATTGGGATTAAAAGTAGCTCATGTCAAGATTGAAAGATTATTCCTTCTCACAAAAATTGGTGGCCTTTTTGTCACGACAAGGGATCCATTCGTCGCCTGTGGCGAATGTATCTTGCTCTCACTCTGTAAACCTATATCTTGCTCTTGGTCTATAATCCTATCTTTCTTCCATAAACCTCCATTTTCGTGCTTAAAAATATTGGTATATATCTATGATTCTAGAACTGCGCTGGTCAATATGGTCACCACTTGTGGCTATTGAACACTTGAAATGTGGCTAGTCTGAATTGAGATTTCAAAGACATAGATG